ATGATTGCTTTATGAGGCACATTGATGGTGCTTGGATCATAAGGTTCCCGGTGAACTTAAAATATATATTTTGCAGATGGGAAGTTTGAACAACATTTGGATGAAGACTTTTTCATTCAATCTCAGACAGAGTTTATATTTATAAAACCACTATTAAGTAACGCTGCTCTATCTGGTCATCACAATCAAATATTATTTGGATCAAATGTGCCATTAAAAAACTGAAACCAGGTGTATGCTTTTGCAGTTTTTAAAAACAATAGATGGGAGTCATGTAGAAATCTACTAAACTTATACAACTCTCATATTTCAGCTCTCGTTGCTGAACCAAAATTAAAGCAAATTTAAAAAAGTCCCTTTATGTCTAAATTTATGTCTAAATAAACTAAAAGTTATTGTTTCATTTCATTTAAAAAAAAAAATCAAAAAAAGAAACAAATAAACAAACAAGAGCAAACAAACGAATAAACACAAACAAGCAAACAAGCAGGCAGGGAACACATACGGTAAGACATTTCAGTATTTACTGACACACAAGGGCTAACCAGGACAAGACAGAACAGTTAGGTAGAATAGGTGAGGCTAATCAGGGATAACAAGACAAAGGAAGTAAAAATAAGGAAAAGTTAACTATGAGTCAAGACTCAGGATCATGGCACCTCTGCCTAGTATACCAGCCCTTACCTCCCCTACCATGTTTTGCATTTGGTTCCTCATCCTTGTTGAATCATGAATAAATTGAGTTTTTGTTTTCTTTTGTTGATTAAAGAGCTTATCTAACAATTAAGAGACCATAAAGGCTCAATTTGGTTTAATGTTTAATTCCTAATAGATCACACCTAGCCAGATAGACCAGAAAACAGCACCTGTGGTTGATGGACAGAGATACATTTTGTCCTTTATTTTGAATTAAACGTAGTAATTAAATCAATATACGTTAACTTAAGAATTTTGACACTGATATTCTCTGTATTTTGTTTGGGTTTGAGTTTGGAGTCTCTCTCCTCGGCAGTCTTTGCTCTGCTGACAGCCAATCTTTAAATTTTCCTCTTGATGAATTATCCCAGTAAATAAATCTCAAACATTGAGTCACATTTTCTCTGAAGGTTGGCCAAACCATTGGATATAGTGTCATGAGTCTTGTGGTGTGAGAAGAAATGATTATTCACTGGAAAATAGAGTTGAACTGTATATAGTTCTATCTCAGAGTAATACATTAAAGTTTCTTTCTTTTTTCTTGTTTTTTTACAACCTTGTAAAAGTTTTCTACGTGTATTAGGTTCGCTTTTAAGGCTAGGTTTTCACTTTTTTAGTGTGAGAACAGTAGCACATGGCCTTCTCCTGCTTGTTAAGTTCTCTTAAAATGTAAGTGTAATATAATGTTTTGCAGGGACTTTAGTTTTGCTTCCAGTATTAAGTACATTCACACTGAACCACAATTCTGTGGATTCAAAATTCATGACTTACACTGTCTGTCCTATATAAAAACAACACTCCAGTATCTGCGGTTTGCAATAACCAGTGGTCTCTGTAGTTTAATGTTGTTTCAAATCATCCCATGAAATATTAGAGTGACAAAGACATTACGTTGTGCTGGGAATTTATTATTTTTTGTTTGTTTTAATTAATCCAACCCTGATGTGTCGAATCAAATGAAGACGAATTTAATGTCTTAAATATCAATATACCCACCACTTAGACTGAGCACATTCAAATGCACTGACATTAATTGAGCACCACTCTAGTCTTACTGACCACTCAAAGTGATTTAGACTACAAGACAGAGTTTACATACTTATTAATCATACTGAGGAAACCCACAGACTGACACATATATAGACCCCAGCTGGGGTTTGGGGCAGGAACCCTTTTGCTAACAGGTGGCAGTGCGCACTGCACCTCTATGTATTGCTTAGTGTCTTTCCTAGTACGGTGAACTCAGCCACATATGTAATTGCATGTCATATGTAAAGAACCACTCTGCACCATACAGCCATCATGCAGGTGTTATCTGGTTTCTAGAATGCTTCAAGCATTAATCCCTCTTTTTTTAGTCCATCATTTTAATCAGCTCCTGGGGATGTTTTTAGTGGCTCTCTTGATGATTTAAGTAGGTTTACAAATTATAATTTTTAACCACCGTGAAGCATGGACCATGGCAGCATAATAAACACAATCAGACATTCCCACTGCAGAGTTGCATTAGCGGGCTGGCACTGCCAGAGAGTATGGCTGGAAAATGTTGAGCTAGCTGGCATCAAGGAGCTCCTGTTACCGGTAAAGGGGGAAAACTCCCAATGGTCTGCCAATCCGGAGGACACACAAACTCATACACTCACATGCAACCTCCCAGTTAAACAGAGGGCAGAGGGTAGTAAACTGTTTTGCTTCCCTCCTACCATCCATGGTAACAAAACAACTTCTAATAGAGGCATAAGATTTTTTTTTTTTTTTAAGAAAAAGAAATGTGGAAAGGGACAATGAAAACATTTAAAATGGATCTTCTTCTTCTTCTTCTGTGAAATTTCAGGTCTTAATACTTTCTGATTCTAATAATGAGAATTTGAGTTTGTTCCTGACTCATGAAACATAGTGTGGTAAAAGTTGGAGGTGCAACAGCCTGGAAAAAAAGTTATAATGCTCTCTTTTCTCCCCTCCTTCTCTTGTATTGGATTATGCTCTGATGCTGGAAAAGTCCTGGAGAATTAGGATGATTTCATTTCACGGGCATGCCGCTTTGCAATAAATTTAGTCTTTTTTCTCTGTATGGCCTCGGGTTTACATTTCTTCTCCAGTTCTTGTTAACTCCAGATTGATTTACAGTGTAGTTGTGGCAGTCATGAAAACTCTTATGATCATTTTGGCCTGAAGTGGTCATGTGCTTAATTTCTCAGATGTAATCTTTGTTATTTTGTGTTGTCAGACTGTCAGAATAAGATTACCACTGTCATCACTAATATATTTACTGTATCAGTAATATATTTCAGGTTTAACCTCTGTGTTTGCAAGGATTGATTAATGACAAATAGCTGTGAGTAGTGCAGTACACACATACGCAAGTATATACATAAATACATGCACACTCTCTAGTGTGCATCCAGGGTCTCAGTGTTCTCTGACACATGAATTCATAAAAAATAGACTGAAATGCTTAACTTATCTTCTTACTTTTTACAGTGCTCGTACAAAATGTTATTTCTTTTTTATTATTGTCATCAATGAAAAATACACATTACAGTTATCTTCATTCTTATCTTCATTTATTATAACATTGTAACTGAAATAGGAACACTAAAAATAGAAACTCTATCATTGCCATCATTGCTTTACTGATTGATGTGGGCCCTATGAGAAGCAGATGTGTGTGTTTTTACACAAATACACAGCCATTTAGCGGTGTGAGCTGAGATTTAAAGAGAAAAATACGCTCCAAAGGAGAAGTAGAAACACATTACCTCAAACGAACTGTGTTCTTTTAAAATGAAGTGCACAAAGTCCCTGTGAAGTTTCAATAGCCCTGACTAAGTGATTTCATTTTATGTTCAAAGCCTTCGGTTTTGAACATTCTGCATATAGCCGTCCCCTTTTTCGGCATAGATGTGGTGTGCATGTATGTGTACACAATATATGTTCATGCATTCAGGCATATGTAATTTAATATGCAGTCAGTCAGTGTGGCACAGGGCCATCTGAAGTGCTGGCATCGGACAGCCCTGCATGTGTGATCACTGTCTCCCACTTCAGCATTCCTCAGTGACAGCCGTGGGGCAAAGGTTTCTTTAAATAGCTTCTGGATTCAAGTTCACTCTGAGACGTCTGGTTCTAGAAATTTTGGTAGAGCATTAGTGCCTCCCTGTGGTTTGGTACTCTCTGGTTCTATGAATCTTTTCTTAGATGAAAACTTCACTCCTGAGACTGCATTTTCATGTATTCATTCATTTATTGTTTTAATTTATTAGAGCAGACTTTTATTTTGCTTTATTAAATTTGGTCTTATATTGTTATAAAGTGAAAGTCCTACGTGCATGGTACATATTTCAAAGGACACCCTTTAACTGTGCATGATCAAGTTATGCCTTTTTACGATTCAATGACCATGTAAATTTGAAATGGAATAGAAATTCACATTGGCCCCTATTGGGCTGCACAGCGGTGTAGTGGTTAGCACTCTGACCTCATAGCTTCTGTATGGAGTTTGCATGTTCTCCATATGTCTTTGTGGAAAGATATGCATGTTAGATTGTGGGCGATTGTGGATTGGCTGTTGAAGTAAGGTAGAAAAGGCGCTTAAAGATTCTAGAATAAAACACTGGATAAATGCATAGTGTGCTTGTAGTCCAAAGTGCTTTGAGTCAACTGTTATTTGTTGTGGATCTTAAACTTGTATTAGTAGAGCACATGTTTTTGCATCACTTGTATTGTAAACATTCAGCTCTTGTCAGTACTGGAGAACATACAAAGAGTAGCTCATGTACAAATGCCCATATTCAGTTCAGTTCAAGGAGATTTTATTTTGATGTCAGGCTAATGTAATCCCAATTAAACTCCACACACACACACACTCACAAGTGAAAGGGTATTCTACAGCAGCTCAATATTGTAGCAGTTATCAGCACACACTCACTCCTGTCTCAGATTCTTGTAATGCCTTTCTCGTGGTAAAAAAGGAAACATCCCCTCATCCTCCCCTCTCGTGCCACTCCTGAGCCCCTCTGTAACAAATCCACACAGCGAGGAGCTCATGTCCACTTTTTGTTTTGACCAGCACTCTGATCTTGCGCTTGTCTATTGAAGTGTACTAGCGGGAGAGATTAGAGCATTAGATTTTTGCTATACAACATCAGAACAGTTGGATTTTTCAGACAGGGCTTTGCTTCTCTGCAGTCCTGTCTTTTCCCACATTATGCTGTACTGAATGGGGGGCTGCGGTGCCCCCTACAAAGGAGCAACCTGTCATCATGTCTAACTCTGGCTTCCGTGGTTACCGCACTATCTCACAGCACCTGAATGACCTGAAGAAGGAGAACTTCAGCCTAAAGCTGCGTATCTACTTCCTGGAGGAGAAGATCCAGCAGAAATTTGAGGAGAGCAGTGATGACGTGCACAAGTGGGTGAGTAAGAAAAACAGTCTGTGTATAATTTAACTGTGACACACGCATGCAAGTTATTCCAAAGGTTCTGTACTTGCATGCACTTGATGTGGAGTTATATGCTATGCAAAGATATGCAGGTTTGTGTCTGACAGTAACTCATACTGACAGTAGGTCTCAGGCTGCTCCGCAGCAGTTCATTCAAACTGTCTGTCAAACATTTCCGCTTGTGAAGCTGATTTAGAGTGACTACAGTTGTCTCAGTGCTGCAGTCAGAAATAAAGGAGGGCCTCAACCTTCTGAGGCACCAAGGGTCAAAAGAAAAAGGATTGAAATTGTTCACTCTCTCTGACAGCAGTGATTAGTAACTAAATACTTAAGTACATTTATATATATATATATATGGATTTTACTTGAAGATTTGCATTTTGGCCCCGATTCCTAGAAATATTATTACACCCCCCTCCTTCCCTATCCCTCCCTATGCCCTCACTCCCCACATCAATGTTTTTGGGCTATAGGACTTAGTGTTTACATTACAATATAAAGCATCTTGATAGAACTGTTGTTGTGATTGAATTAATGTTACAGTGTCCAAAACTGTTAGATGATCTCATGGATTAGACAAGTGGTGAATTTAAAAATGTAATTTTCTCTATTTTTGTAATTCAATAATGATATATACTTGATACTAAAATAAAACTTATTCTGCCACTTCACAAATCAGTCTTTCAAAAAAAAAAAAAAAAGTAATTTCTTTTCATCTAATCGATCTGCATGAGGGCAGAGGGCTGTACATGATTCTGAAAACAGTGATCACTGTTTTCCACACCAATCTTTTGTAATATATTTATGCTTCATCAAATATGCTAAAGCCCTATGACCCACAGTAAATACTTGTCATTGCTGCTACCTGGCACCAGCGAGTATCTAATGCAAGTATCTATTAATTCTAACGTTATGTATAATTTTACGGCAAAGTCAAAATTATTTTCTTGCAAAAAGAAAACCATCAATCCTGTACGCATGACAATTTAAAACACAAAGGAAAAGTTAAAAACGTATCCACTCTTGAAATCTGTGCTTTCTATCTGAAAACAGATTCATTTAATTCTGTTCAGTTTTATTTGTACTCTCCAAACTCACAACAAAAGGTATTTGAGGGCATTTCACATTTTAAGGTAAACCCGATAGAGCAGTGAGTGCCAAAGTGTGGGCTAGGGTCTGGTGGCCTATGAAGGTACTGCAGGTGATCCACAGAAATAACACAAATGCATTTTTAAATTACTCATATTTACAGTTACATGTTCATATAAGTGGTTCATATAAGGTGTTTAGTTTGTGATATTACTTATTACTCTGACCTAAATTTACTGGGTAACTGGGTAGCATTAACCATTTCTAACCAATAGTCTGTTCTGTTGATGTTTTTTGAATAAAATTTTAAAGTAAATACATCACTTTCTATTGTATTTTGATTAGAGCAAATATTTGTGATTTGGTGGGATTTTCTGTTGGGCTGCAGCAGTGTTAATTTTGGGAATTTTAAGAGCATCCAAATACTGTTAAGTCAATGAGGTTTTAATTCATTGCTCTCAGTGGAAGCTGCTCAGTATATCTAAAGAGAGCCACATGTCTGCTGGAGAATAATTGTTTCAACTGCCCTAACTGCTTGACCTGTGTTCTTGTGGCAGCTATAAACCCACTGACCCACTTCATGTTTCACTGCTTTTGTCGGTGCACAATATATGCACGTGTGTATGTTGCATCTCTTTGCACATACAAGCAACAACAGTTGTGTCCAGCACCTGTGTTGTGTGTCAGTTACTGCAGCAGTGCTGAACTGCAATTCCAGATTGGTGTACATAAAACATCAATCACTGCAGACGGATACTGTGAGTGAAGTGACGGTCAGTCCTCATCCAGTTGGTTCCTGCTTTAGGATTTAAAAGTTAAAAGTAGAGTTGTTGCTGGGTACTTGGGGGTGGAGTGGTGGATGTTACACTCTTGGGGGTCAGAAGGAGACATATACAGCAGGTGCTCTTATTTCTACCACCTATTTATAGACCTACTGAGCTACAGAGATATTGAATAGCACGTGAGACTTGGAAGCTTGTTTCGTGTGGCATACTACTGTACTGCTGTACTGACTGAATGACAACGACTGCAGAAATAAGGTCAATTGATTATCACTGCTTCTGACTTTGGGGTTGTTTTTTTGTTTGTTTGTTTTTTAAAATTGGGTACAGCAGAGTGAAAAAGTAAAATTAAAATTCTTGAAGTCAGGGTAACTCATTTGCTTCACTTAGCTTCATGAGGATTGCTGGAGCCTACCAGCGACCATAGGGTGGAAGGTAGGGTACACTGTGGAAGGGTTGCCAATCTGACGCAGGGCTAACACAGAGATATAGACAAGCATTCACTGTGTCATTCTCACCTATGGGCAATTTAGGATCATTAATTAGCCTGACCCCACTAATTGCATGTCTCTGGACTGTGGGAGGAAGCCAGTGTACTTGAAGAGAACCCACACAAAGTGGTCCAGCTCTTCCAGGAAAAGAATAATGTAGCAACTAAAATTTAGTCTGGCAATAATATAAAGTCTGTCCATGAAATATGATCAGTGTTGGGCAAGTTACTTTGAAAAAGTAATTAATTATAGTTACTAGTTACTTCTTCAAAAAAGTAACTGAGTTAGTAACTGAGTTACAAGATTCTAAAAGTAATTAATTACTTGAAAAGTAACTATTGCGTTACTTTAAAAAAAATGTTTAACCCTCTGGGGTCCAGCGTATAATTGGCCATTTTTAACTACTTTTGATTTTCCCTCCACATTTTACCTTTAAAAACTATTTACTTTGCCCTGTTTGGTATCATCCTTTTCAGCACAACCTCATGTGTCTGAATTTACAGTCATGTTTTCATTTTGACATACTGTATTAACACAATGGATCTAAAATCAGACAAAAAACATAAAATCAGAGTAGAAAAAGTTATATTTTTTTTACTGTAACAACCACAAACATGTTTAATGATAATATTTCATAACTTTAAATGCAAATATAAATTGTCAATTTTAAAATCCTCTGCACAAGTTTTGCAAACAACAAAGTTATTTGCATCTATTTACCTTTTA